CCTGCTGAAGATTACTAATTTCTTTGTCAGAAGCTTCCTTCTGAGGGCTAACTGAATTGCTGTAGCTAACAGTACACGTGTCATAAGTATCTGTACTGCTTTGACAGCCAAAATAATTTTCCACAAGCCCTTGCTTTACCATATCAGGACTGGCTGAAAAAGGGTCACCTGTACCCAGGTGCGTTTCATCTTTAACTGTAGGGGCTTCTGAATACATTTGTTTGAGATTTAACGCATCGCTATTTTTTCTTTTCACAGTTCTATCTTCACTGACGTCTGTCCTGGTAGAAATGGAACCTGAAACGACACAAGGGGTGCCTGAACAAACCAGTCCCGAACTTAATGGAACTGCGGTCCCTGCAGGGTCACAAGATTTATCAGGACTCTGGGAGTCTTTACACGAAGTGTCCAAGTTAGGTTTGGAGCTGCAACTACTTTTCACATCACTGGAAGTACCTTCGTCTGAAAAAACAAATTGTAAAGGGTCTTTAGTGCTTGAATTTAAGGAATGTATTGCTATCATTTCATTGTCCAAATGCCCTGAAAACATGACACTCTGCTGTTGCAACATAATACTTGACTTCTTCCTATCGTCACATTTTGGCACATCAATTGTTCCTAGATTCAACACGGTTCTGCTATCGCTTAGGTGGCATTCAGGTACAACAGATTTCTTAGGATTTTCATCAGGTGACAGCTCATCGTCAGAAGGCAGAGAGTTTATGGACGTTAAGGATGACTGGATCTCACTGAAAGCACTTGTGCTCTCAGTACAGTGGCTGCCTACTGAAAACTTTACATTATGATCCGGCTTCATCAAAAGCTGAGGAAATAACCTTTCGTTATTGGAAAGACCTTGCCCTTGTACAGTTTCAAAGACTAGGTCAGGGTTTGGATGTGTTGCAACAGAGCTTGGTTCACTTTCCACACCTGAATCTGAGAACCGAGACGAGGCACACGTGGCACTAATATCTGGTAACTTAATTGAGTCTCCACTCACTACAACATGATATTCTCTTGTAGAAGAAGCAGGTTGATTACTTCTTAGCTTAGCTAATGATTCTCCAACAGAACGACACTTTGCTTCCTGCAAAGCTTCCTTTTCAAGTGTTAGTTCTATAGATTTAGATTTACCGTTAGATTCTAAGGACTCAAAGTTGGGTAGTTGTAAACTATCCGCAAATATTTCATCTTGTCGAAGCTCTGTCCAAGGTCCTATTTTAACAGTTATTTTCTCTCCACTGAAAGGGTCTTTATTAGAGGGCTTTACTTCAATTGTCCTAACTCCCGAAGTGGGGGCAGTTTGATGATCATGGCAATCATCTGATGAACTTCTGGATGCCACACTGTGTTCCACTTGTGCAATTTCACTATCGTCCTGGGAGATATCAAGTTTACCTGAAATGGACAAATTTGCACAAAGATTTAGGCTGCCAGAGGTCAAAGGATCAAACAGGTCTGGTTGCATATTTTCAATATCTGGAGACTTTTGTTCAGTTCTCTCTGTATTAGCTGGCAAATAGCTAGCTTCCTTTTGACTTGTCTGTCTGATGTAGGTCTTTAGGTCAAAATTATATCCACATATTGTGGTGTCCAGACCTTCCTTCTGACTATGTGAAGGATTGCCTTCAAAGCTTTTAAAGAGATCATTTGATGCTGTGCTTTTCAAACATTTGTAGCCTACCAAAACCACAGAATCCTTAGAGTTCTGTTTTATTAATTTTTTTGTGTTTTCAGGTTTCATTGTTTTCATGAGCTTAGTAACCTTAACCTTGGATTTATTTGATTCTTCATTCTTTCCTTTTAGAGACTTTGTTAGCTGCTTTTCACCTTCTGTAGACCAAAAACTGGAGGCCCCAGCAGGTCTGACTTTCAACTCTGGGCTGGAAAGTCCAGCTAGAGAGCTTTCTTCAGTCTCACATTTATCCATTCTACTGGACTCTGATCTCTGAAGACTCTGAATTCCCATCCAGGGTGCATCTAAGTCTTTTATCCAAAGAAAAAGAAATTCAGGTTTAAAACGAGGTATAAGAACTCATATGATTAAGACTACTTTCTCTGACTATAACTTTCTAATATCCTCAAAAATAAATAAAACTGGAGGGGGGAAAACAGCCCCACATTAAGGAATGGCTTTATGTATATTAGAATATACTGAAAATGACACACACAGCTTACATATTTTAGATTACACTTACCTTCAGTAACTGCATCTAAATACCTGTCTTCAAAGATCACAGGTAATGAATTGAGATCTCCATCTAATTCACTACACTCAATAGGCAGGGGTGGGAGAGAGCTGCAGAAGGAAGTGTTTTTGAGAGCGGTGCACATCTGGAGGTGACTCTGAGCACTGAAAAACATGTCTTATGTCAGACTGCAATCTAGACAATCACACCAATTTCACCTCATCATCTCTCCAGGACCACCCCTCCTCAAGACAACCTCCTTACGAAAGAGCTCCTAGGTCAGAGATAAAAACTGGTACGATGAAAATTATGGTTTGTTGACAAAAATTACTGACTAATAAAATTATTGTTTACTGATAAATTATTTAATTTCTATTACACTCTTCTATATTTTTAATGTTATTTCAAAGTGAGTCATCTGTGCTTCATGTCTGAACATCCTAATTAGCTGAGAATAGCATAGAGGAAAAAGACCAAAAGCTTAAATGCCTGCTAACGATTTGATGATAATATTGAAAAAAAAAGTTAACATGTACTGATGAATACAATTAACAGCTGTTTTAAAAAAGGTATATAACTTTCTAATGCAAAATAGCTTTTTTAAAAAAACTTTCTTATGGAAAATTTGAAACAAATCAAAGTACACAGAACAGCACCATAGGCCCCATCAACAAACGTTTTCCCTTCTTGCTTTGTCTGTACCTCCACTCACTGCCTACCTACACACCCTATGATTATTTAGAGTTGTCTGTTGGGGCATATACTTCACATGCACTGAAACAAACAAATCTTGGCTGCACGATTCTGACAAACGGACACGTGATACAGAACATTTTCCACCTGTCCAGAGAGTACTCTCACGTCTTTCCAGGCAAACTCCCAGCCCAAGTCGACACCAAGACACCCACTCTTCTGACTTGCTTCACCTTAGTCTTACGTGTTCCAGAACTTCATATAAACAGAGTCATATATTCTTTACTCTTTTATGTCTGACTTCTTTCACTCGACATAATGTCCTCAAAATATTCTTTAAAGCCAAAGAAAACCAGATCTAAATGTACTCAGTAGGGAAAATGGAAGGCATCTACTCAGGATATTTGAATTGTAAATCTTTTACATAACAGCAGGAAGTGCCAGTCAGACTACCTGTGAAAATATGTAATACATAATGATAAATGTAAGAGATTCTGACCTGTGAAGATAAAAATACAACAAGACAGCCAAATGAAAGGCTGGAGCCAGGGCTGCATGGGACTCCCAAGGGTGGGGTAGATCTGTGTGGGGAGGGGTAACAGCGCAGTACATTTCTTTATGTAAGGGCGGGGTCTTTAGTGAAGTAATACATAAGATTAAATGCAATTTCACTAAACAGGAGCTTTCTAAACTTCAAATTCTCCTAATTTCTTTCATTGTAAATATTGTATATTCTGTCACTGATAAATTCTGAGATGATATCTTATGTAAAAGGAAATAGAATCATTTAAATTTTGGATTTATGCTACTCACTGAAGTTCCTGGTATGCAATGGCAGCTTCTCTTGGATGTTCAAAACAAAAGAATGCCTCAGAAAATCTGCGCACCTGGAAAATTCCAAAAGGGAGTATGAATAACATGGCACATTTAAAAAGTCAATCAGGAACTGGGTGGCAGGGAAAGAAACCCCCTTTGCGAGGCCCTCCATAACCATCCCTGTGAGAATTACTCTCCCTCCTCAGGGTGGCCAAAGCACTGTATTTTGGTACTTACTGCAAGAATTAAAAGAAAGAATAGAATGTAGGTAAGAAATTTCATTTTATATTATGGATCCACCATTCATCCTCCTTGAAGATGGGGATTCTGTCTGTCTTATTTACCACTACATCCCCACACCAAGAACAGCACCCAGTGCACAGAAGAATGGTGGGATCAGCTAGCACTCCCTGGTGCTGTGTGCCAGGCATCCCAGTACACACCAGCTGAGCTGATGGTGGACTCGCTGGCTCTGTGACCTTCGGCATTTCACCTTGGAGCCTCGATGACTCTTTTTCAATCACACTTAATACTTATTCTTCATAGGGGGTTATTGCAAAGAATAAACAAGGTAATGTACTTGATAGCAGTTTTTAATCTGGAAAGTATCTATAAATATAAGCTATTACAATTACCACTGTAGCATTCACCACATTTTTTCTTAAAATAATTGTATATGTGAACTGTCTCCCCTCCTAACGTGTAGGAACACATTAGAGTAGGAACTGTGTTTTGGATGATCTTTGCTATCCCCCCAAAACATGTCTTGGTATGTTACAGAAGCAAGTACTTGGTAAATACTGGTCAAATGTAGTTGAATATTTCTTCCATATTTGTATTCTGACCCTTTCATTTCTAACTATGCAGGAAAAGGCTTTGTCAGCTATTGGAACAACTGAAGCAACAGTAAGGGGATGGAAAAGATATTTTGTTTGAAGGGTACATGGAGGAGAGAGAAATGATATTATATCTTGGAATTATATTACACCTAAGATTTTTTTCTAAAGGGAAGTACAACTTAGGGGTCTTTGGTTTTAAATGTAGAATGAGGGGCTTCCCTGGTGGCGCAGTGGTTAAGAATCCACCTGCCAATGCAGGGGACATGGGCTCGAGCCCTGGTCTGGGAAGATCCCACATGTCACGGAGCAACTAAGCCTGTGTGCCACAACTACTGAGCCTGCGCTCTAGAGTCTGCGAGCCACAACTACTGAAGCCCGCACCACAACTACTGAAGCCCACACAGCCTAGAGCCCTCGCGCTGCAACTACTGAGCCCACGCGCCACAACTGCTGAAGCCTGCATGCTCTAGGGCCCATGTGCCCCAACTACTGAGCCAGCATGCTGCAACTACTGAAACCTGCACGCCTAGAGCCCGTGCTCCACAGTAAGAGAAGCCACTGCAATGAGATGCCTGCTCACTGCAACGAAGAGTAGCTCCCGCTCACCATCACTAGAGAAAGCCTGCGGGCAGCAGCAAAGACTCAACACAGCCAAAAAAAACATATTCAAAAAAAGAGTCAAATATTTTTAAAGCCAAATGCAGAAAATTATGTATTGTATGCTCCCCCTTGTATTTTAAAAAAGAGAGGAGAGGCTGGTGGTGATGGGGTTCTGGACATGTTACCCCAAATTATGGCACCTTGGCATACTGAATATCTTAAGGTGAAGAAATTTAAGAAAAGGAAGAGCAGGAAAGTCACCCTGACCTCCTCACCAACCCTTCTCCCCTAAAACAGGTCATAAAACCCTCATGTGAGGGTGCCCTCACTATACCCAGAGGAATGGAACGTCCATTCTTATCTCCCAAAACAAAGGAATGGCAAGAAGAAGCCTACAAACAGGGCTTGCTAATAAATTCCCTTGGTTTACTACAATTACTTCATACTCCTCAACCTATCATATTCCTTCATGAACTGTCAACTCTTCATCAAGCCTATCATAAAACACTCAGGTCTGTTTCTTTGGGTCTTCATTTCCTTATGAAGGCTACCTTGTCACATAAAACTTATATTAAACAAATTTGTACACTTCTCAGGGCTTCCCTGGTGGTGCAGTGGTTAAGAATCTGCCTGCCAATGCAGCGGACACAGGTTGCAGCCCTGGTCTGGGAAGGTCCCACCTGCTGCGGAGCAACCAAGCCCGTGCACCACAACTACTGAACCTGCGCTCTAGAGCCTGCGAGCCACAACTACTGAGCCCACGTGCCACAACTACTGAAGCCTGTGCGCCTAGAGCCCATGCTCCCCAACAAGAGAAGCCACCACAAGGAGAAGCCCACGCACCGCAACAAAGAGCAGCCCCCGCTCACCGCTACTAGAGAAAAGCCTGAGTGCAGCAATGAAGATCCAATGCAGCCAAAAAAAAAAAAAATGTACAGTGAATTGGAGAAACATTTTCTTCGTCATCAAGTTATAGCCAGCTGAGTTTCTGACTTCCTAAGCTTGTCTCCCTGAGTTAGTGAGACTAGGTCTTCAGAGGGACAAGTTGACAGGGGGCAATGAAACATCTGTGGGAAGGACGCAACTGTCTTCACCTTCAAATGCTGCTGAAGGCCCCTTCTTCCTCTCCAACACTAAGGGAGACATGAGGAAAACTTATCTGCCTGCCTGCCTGTCTGTCTGTCTGTTAGAGGTATTTTCCCCGAGGGCTGTAAAGTGAAAAGAAATGCAGCCTGAAGTCATCTGGATTCCTGCAGCTGCAGCTGTGCCTGCCTCCCCACCTTCCCTGATCCCTACAATAAGAACCATCATTTCTGGACAGCATCCTCCCTCCCAGGCTCCATGCTAAGCACTTTAGTTTCATTCTTCAATTTGAACCATATAAAAACCCTATGAAGTGGATATATCTTCATTTAACAAGTGAGGCAAGATAACATAGCTGGGCTGTGATACACATGGGATTCAAATAAAGACTTGAGAAAAATGTCAAGACTTGTGCTCCAACCACTGATCCCTTCCCTTCTGCATTAAGACTCCCTGTTATCATAAAGTCTTTCCTTTCCTCTCTGCTCCCAGATGAGGCTCTCTGTCTGAACTTTCTCATGCCCTGATTTCTGGGCAGTGGCAACCAATGAGGAAGAAGGCTGGCACAGCACTGTGAGGCCATCACTAAGGCATCACTGCCACCTGATGGCAGCACCGCTTAATTTTGGGCAAAAGGCAGGCACAGAAAAAAATGTCAAATTTACAAACTCAGGATATGAGTAACAGGTATTAATACTTTGGTGTGTATATATATATATATATATATATATATATATATATATATATCTGTAAGACACGTTTTGAGTATGTACCCTAATTTTAAAGAATCCACTACTTATTTGGCAATATCAACTATTCAAAATTTAACCAGGATGTTAAAAAAAGGCTTTAAGGGTTCAAAATGGGTGTTTATAGTGCTTTAAAGAGTTAAATGTTCCTTTATCTATGTTCACCCTAATAGGTTGTTTAAATTGCTAAGCAATGCTTACTATAATAATTTTAATAAGTAGTTATTAATATAACTATATTTATTATAATTTAATATATTAATCACATATTATTATAATATTTACTATAATAATTTTATACATGCTCATCCAGGTTAGATTCTAATCTGTAGTGCAGAGTCTAAATATGTGATACATTATCTATGTTGCCTTGAAGAAAGAAGGCACCTCACAAATGTTCACTGAACAAATGTTTCTTTTTTTGAATTTATTATTTTAAACAGCAGGTTCTTATTAGTTATCCGTTTTATACCTATTAGTGTATACAAGTCAATCCCAATCTCCCAGTTCATCCCACACCCCTGCCCCACCGCTGTCCCTGCTTGGTGTACGTACATTTGTTCTCTACATCTGTGTCTCTATTTCTGCCCTGAGAACTGCTTCATCTGTACCATTTTTCTAGGTTCCACATATATGTGTTAATGTACGATATGTGTTTTTCTATTTCTGACTTAGTTCACTCTGCATGGCAGTCTCTAGGTCCATCCACGGCTCTGCAAATGGCACTATTTCATTCCCTTTAATGGCTGGGTAATATTCCATTGTATATATGTACCACATGTTCTTTATCCATTCGTCTGTCGATGGACATTTAGGTTGCTTCCATGATCTGGCTATTGTAAATAGTGCTGCAATGAATACTGGGGTGCATGTGTCTTTTTGAATTATGGTTTTCTCTGGGTATATGCTCAGTAGTGGGATTGCTGGGTCATATGGTAATTCTATTTTTAGTTTTTTAAGGAACCTCCATACTGTTCTCCATAGTGGCTGTATCAATTTACATTCCCACCAACAGTGCAAGAGGGTTCCCTTTTCTCCACACCCTCTCCAGCATCTGTTGTCTGTAGATTTTCTGATGATGCCCATTCTAAACGGTATGAGGTGATACCTCATTGTAGTTTTGATTTGCATTTCTCTAATAATTAGTGATGTTGAGCAGCTTTTCATGTACTTCTTGGCCATCTGTATGTCTTCTTTGGAGAAATGTCTATTTAGGTCTTCTGCCCATTTTTGGATTGGGTCATTTGGTATTTTTAATATTGAGCTGCATGAGCTGTTTATATATTCTGGATATTAATCCTTTGTTGTTCTGTTTGCAAATATTTTCTCCCGTTCTGAGGGTTGTCTTTTCATCTTGTTTGTAGTTTCCTTTGCTTTGCAAAAGCTTTTAAGTTTCATTAGGTCCCATTTGTTTATTTTTGTTTTTATTTCCATTTCTCTAGGAGGTGGATCAAAAAAGATCTTGCTGTGATTTATGTCATAGACTGATCTGCCATATGTTTTCCTCTGAGAGTTCATAGTGTCCAGTCTTACATTTAGGTCTTTAATCCATTTTGAGTTTATTTTTGTGTATGGTGTTAGGGAGTGTAGCTTTTACATGTAGCTGTCCAGTGTTCCCAGCACCACTTACTGAAGAGACTGTCTTTTCTCCATTGTATATCCTTGCCTCCTTTGTCATAGATTAGTTGACCACAGGTGCGTGGGTCTATCTCTGAGCTTTCTATCCTGTTCCACTGATCTATATTTCTGTTTCTGTGCCAGTACCATATTGTCTTCATTACTGTAGCATTTGTAATATAG